TAGTAGTAGGTAGTAGTGGTAGACTACTGCTACTACAGCTACTTACTGCTACCACTGCTGCTACTACTGCTACTACTCCTACTACTACTACTACTACTACTACTACTACTCCCACTACTCACTACTCCCACTACTCCCACTACCACTACTACCACCACTACTACTATGACTACGACTACAACTAACAACTCACACGTACTACTTGCAGCAGTACTGCTATGACTGCCACCGCTACCACCAAGCACAATTCAGATGTCTCGCACATGTATTGGACATAGCAGTCAAACCAAATATGTTGCTTGGGTTTTCGGTAGCACCAACAAAGCACAAGTTCCATCATCATGCCATTGACGACCTCTGTGAATATCATCAACATCCTCAAAATCATCGTCATCATCATAATCATCATATTTATCCTCATCTCCATCATTGCCATGCCCATTGCCATCGTCGTTTTTGGGTGTCAACACCTTAACTTTTCGCTCTGTCGTTCCCGCGGCAACCAACACCAGAACCACCTCGTGGTGGTGGCGGCCGCGGTCGTGCCGCTCCACGTGGTGCCGAGGGCGGTCGCGGGGGCCCACAGGCCATCGGCTCTAATGAAACATTGTAGACATGTCTAACAGCATTTGCCGGGGTTGGGAGTTGCAGGCGCAAGCACACGCAATGGATTCTAGGAAATTAGGAAGGTTAGTGCTTGTGACAAGTCAAAGGTTGCAGGAAAATTGAAACCTGAGAGAGTGCTCAAACGGGCCTTACAGCTCAGGCTTGCCTTAAAAGCATTGAATCTAAGAGGGTCTCTCAGGGCTTGGGGCTTTCATCTAGGTCGGTACTACGGGGGGTTGCTGCAGGGCGCCGCGTTTGGGCTTTGGTCTTCGAATCGCGGCTTCGTGCTTTTGAAGGGTCGAGGGCTGCTTGGATGTCGGAGTCTCAATAAAGTCGACTACAAGGCTTTGACGTGTCGTCTTGGGTCACTGACATGGGTCTCGTGGAGTTATAACTCTACGGCAGCTTCGTGCTTTCCAAGCATAAGACAAACTTGCGGATGCACGCTTGCACCGTCATCTGAAGTGACTGTGATGACCCAGATGATGGTGACGACGATCATGTTGATGATGATGGCGACGATGATGATGATGCTGAAAAGGTGATGACCATCGTAGTAGTCGTCGCCATCATCATCAACATCATCATCATCATCATCATCATCATCAGCATAAGCATCAGCATCAGCATCATCGTCATCATCATCACCATCATCATCATTACGATCATCATGACCATACCGTCTTACATCAGCCTCTTGCTTCCTAACCTGTTTCAGATAATCATCACCCTTGCCCCTTCCCCTGGTCATTCTTGTCCCTGCTACCACTGCAGCGGCGTCATCGCGTCTTTCATTCTTCTCCCCCTGCTTCTTGTCATCGTCGTCATCTTCATCGCCATAATGAACATCGACATGACCACCGTCACCGTCAGGAGACGCAGCACCTGCAGAAGGCACAGCCTCTTGGGGACGCGCAAACCCGCCCGGATATCTTTTTGAAATTAAGGCGGCGGTTTTGTACAGAAGTCGAAGCGAATGGAGTCTTGCTTGAAGTGCAGCTCCTCGGTTAATAACGCCTTTGATGGAAAGCATCCAAACATGGAAGAGATTCTGACTGCTCTTACCGCATAGTGCTCCCGTTTCAGTCCGAGGATCTTCGCACGGAGCCGTTCTACCCCAAAAAGACTCGGTAGCTTCCGGAGGTGAAACAAACAACATGGCTGAGTATGTCGGATCTCCGACACTACAGAACTCATCATCCGACAGTGCTTCTGCGAGTCTCGCAAGGAGTTCCAGAATCCCAAACGGGGGTTTACACACGTCTTGCAAGGACAGCAGAGTTTCTCCATTTCTCCATAAGAGTGCTTGAAACTCCTGATGTGCCCTCTACTTCAGAGCGAAGAGGCTGCTGAGGCCTCGCCCCTGACAGGTTCTCGACCAGAAGATGCAAGGAGCTCTCGATGTGACCAAACGAGGATTCAGAGTTCAAGGCTCCGAGATGATCGAGCAGGAAGCCGATGACCCTTACCTATCTTGCCAAAAGCCGGCAAGAAAATATGTCCATTCACCCACTGTACCTCGCAAGCATACTGGAACAGTCCATGGAAGACTCTGGAAGCCTACAAGTCCTGGAGAATCACGGGCGTGCAACAAGTCATCTATCCCGAAGGCACCAGGCCATCCTGGGCCAACACCGACCGTAATAGAAGTGGAAGCATGAAAGCAGCAGTAGTGGTAGCAGTAGTAGTGGTAGTAGTAGTAGTAGTAGTAGTAGTCGTCGTCGTCGTCGTCGTCGTGGTGGAGGTGGTGGTACTGGTGGTAGTAGTAGTAGTAGTAGTAGTAGCAGCAGCAGCAGCAGCAGCAGCAGCAGCAGTGGCAGTAGCAGCAGCAGTAGCAGTGGCAGTGGCAGTGGAAGTAGCCGTAGCAGTCGCAGCCGCAGCAGCAGCAACAACAACAAGAAGAGTAGCAGCAGCAGCAGCAATTCAGATGGATCTTCATGACCACTTGATGTAAGGGCCCGGCTCTGGCGAGGAGACCGGCAGCCAATCCTGGAAGGCACAGAACTACGAGGTAACTACGGCCCCATTGAGGGGGCGTCTCAGCGCTTAAACCGTGAAGCATCAAGAGCCTGTTTGCCATTGCCAGAAGCCAAAACAACACTAATCGGATATGCATGCTGCTTCCGGCGTCCCAGCCTACTTCAAATTGAGATTCTTCGGGCACGCCTCCCGTCGAATCCGCAGCTGAGTTCTGCAGTGCCGAGGAGTCCTGCAGCTCACGGTTGCGGATTTTGAGACTTTTCGCAGCTTGAGAAGATGATGGGGTGAACAAGAAGAACAGCGGAACCTGCACCTCCTGGACTGGAAACTCACATAACTTGCTGCTTGACACACTCAGCTCAACGAATCCTCCGAGCAAGCAGCGTTTTTCATTCCCGCTCAGCCTCCGGGCCTACCCTCCGCCCGTCTCAACACAAAAACCTGCACCTTCCCGCGATGCAGTCGTGTTTGGAACATCTCGAAATATCTAAAAGGGCAGACTCTTCCTCCACGTCCATGGTTGGCTCGGAGTGGTCCTCAGAGGTTCCAAGACTCAGGCCTAAATCGGAAGCTCCAAGCTCAACACGTTCTACGGTCGATTGCTTCGGCACGGCACGAGGACTCGTCATGATTCATGGTGGGTCTTTCAGGCCAAACGTGCTTGGAGTGAGCAAACCCGGAGCTCCAAAGACGCCCTAGGTACTGTGCGCTGCCACGTGGTGGTAGTAGTAGTAGTAGTAGTAGTAGTAGTAGTACTAGTAGGTGTGCTACTGCTACTGCTGCTGCTACTACTACTACTACGACTACTACTACTACTACTACTACTACTACTACAACGACGACTCCTACTACTCCTGCTCCTCCTACTCCCACTCCTGCTCGCACACCTACACCAAAATTACTCTTCACAGTGAAGCCATGTGAGGCATATTACGAGAATGCCTGGTGCCAGATGCTGATCTTCATGCTCGAATTGTGAGTGTCATGTAAGTGCAAGATCTTGCATTGCCAACCATACCTGCCAAAATACACAGTTACCACATGTGCTGTGATATTCATCCTGCTCGAACTGCTTGCCTATGCGCAAAGTTTCGGTAAGGCTGGCATGCAGCTGGGGACCTCTCAGAAGCCATTGCTGCTCAAAGTGCTGTCGAAAATCTCTCAAGTCGCCGAGTACTTTTTTACAATACATTAGACAAAGAACCAGGCAGGACCGCCGTTGCAAGACGCGGAACTTTGGGATTTCCATACAATGCGACACAAGTGCCTCAAAGGGCACGGGATTAAACTATGCTGTGTCTTGTCGTGTCGTAGCTCGGGGCTGACCGTGCGAATGGGTCTGATCTTCTATTTTTTTCACGAGGGTTCGCAGTCGGACAATGCTTTGCTGCAGAGCCTAATCTGTGCCCCAAACGCAACGCCCAGAACACCACACTCTCCCCCCCACACATATCCCATACCCTTGCCTGGTCAGGGATGGCCTGGCCCAGGGAATTGGATGAGGAGTCGATTTCTCGCTGTAGCTATTTCGATTATTAGGATCATTGGGACGTGAGAGGAGTATGGAGTTCAGGGTTTAAGTGTTTGTAACCCCGCAGCACCAAAGCACGAGAGCTGGGAAACCTGTTTCTCAAGAGAAGCACGCGCTCGGGTATCCTGAACCTTAAGAAAATGATGCTATAGGTGGGGGCGAATTGGGGATCTATAGCTCTGCTTCACTGCGATACCAATGAACTCTCAAGCAGTTCGCCAGGTGCCTGAACAGTAACCCGGACATGAACCAGAAGAATATCGCCAGATACTTCCCTGATTGTGCCGCCACCGTACACACCCTAAGAGCAAGAACGGCGGGCATCCAGGCCTCTTTTGCGGAATGCACTCTGGAAACACCCCTAGCCAGCGACATCAAACCTCAGCTTTTGGAGCTTAGCAGTTAAGGTTTGGGATTACTGTTCCGAGTTCTTTGATGTTTGGTTAAGGGGTTTTGAATCTAGGTCCTAGGTTTAGCACGAGGGTGGGGCATGCGAGCCCCGTCAATTCGGCCCGAAACAACCCTGGACTTCAACAATCCCCTCCGAATCGCGCAACGCGTGTGCTCGTCAAGGATCCAGAGCATCGTGCACATGTGTATTTTCTTGAGCGAACCCCTGCAAAGGACCCTGCATCCCTTCACGTTCTCTCTACCTCCCTGTCGCCGTACACGGAAAGATACGGGTGGTGGTATGTGCGTACGTACGTGCAGCTACGCCGGGGCACGAACAGGAAGACGGTTCACAGACTCAGCATGATACTTCTTGCAAACCTCGCGGGTGTTCGGCGTTGTTCTGATGTAGACAAGCACAGAGAGAACGAAGCCGGCTTCGTTCAAAGAGTAGCCACAATAAGGATGGATAACCCTCGTATAGATCGCTAGGCTACTCCTTGTTCGAGGATCTTTCGCTCAGGGCCTTTAGGATCTCTTTCTGGGTGCCCGGACTGGGCACGGACTTCCTGTTGCAGAGCTCCAGGCCACATTCGTAGGAAAACTCGATGTCCTGCAAGGCGCACACTCCTCATTTACGGCTGCAAAGCAGGCCGATGTGTTGGCAACCAGGAGCCTGCAAGAAAAACCCAACACCTAGGAAGCTCGATCGGATTGGCTGCTCGGCAGCCCTTCTGCTCGGCTTCGAAATCAAAGCGAGCCTTCGTGAGTTTGGTTTTTCCAAACCTTTCTCGCTCTGTTCGTGAAGAACCTGTGAATCTGTTAAGTAACCGTTGGCACACGGAAAGATCACAATACTTTGTTGTGCCACCGATACTTCACATTTCGTTGGCCTCAACACTCAAGCCTTATGACAGTAGTGGAGACCAACTACACTCGGGAGCATCCCATGCCACTCTCTGATTACTACCGTATGGGCTTTGATAGCACAGCTGCTACTTCCCACAGCCCACCACCACCACCACCACCACCACCACCACCACCACCACCACCACCACCACCACCACTACACAGGCTTCGGAAAGGATCAGGGCTCTAGGCTTTGCAGTTTCATAGAAAGACAGAGTCTCTTCGTACTCCGTCCGTCGAATTAAGGCCGCACTGCGGCGAAGAGTACTCTGCACAACAAGGCCAACCTCAGTTGTAAGTGCAGTATCTGCCCGCGATTGGCTCCATCGCGCTGCTTGCTGTGGCATACGGCGATGGCGATGGGGATCGCGCCGGAGCTGAATTAGTAATCGCCACGGTGATCATCGAGCAGCAGCACCGACGAAAAATAAGCCGACGATCATTCGAAAGCTGCACATGTTGCGTCTTGTGTTGCAGCGGCCGAAGAAGCTGCGAAGATGATCGAAGCCTGTCACGCCGCGCTGGCAGGTGCTGCAATGGTAAGCCCTCTGGGCGCCAGAAACAGAAGCGTGTGCGCAGTGCAGGGCAGAAGAGGACACGAAGCGCATGCCATGTGAGGGGCGGCACAGCAGGAGCAGGTTCATGCCACTAACGCGCTGCGGCGTCGCAGAGCGGCTCGTGCTCTCCAGGAGCGCACTGCGACGCTGAATTCTTGCAGCATTGAAGCCTGAACTACTTCGGGTTCCTCACCTATGCGTGCCGCGACTGCCCGAGCAATGTGCTTCAACACAGTCGCTGCTTTGGGCTCCCATGTGCCTGTGCTCTCAACGACCATGGGCTGGAACACAACCCCGCGTCGCGCAGGTTTGTGCCGTGTCGAGGTAGGCCTCCTTGTGTCGGGCGTTGCTGACAGCGGCCACGGCCGTCGACCGAGCAGCCGTCGCCAAGGAGACCGTGACAGCGAAGTCAAGGGCGACGGGAGACCCGGCCAGGGCCTGAAGTAGACGTCGGCTGGCCGTCGCTAGGCGACGCATGTGCAATCCGGACACTAAGGGAGGAGGGATGGAGGCCCGCCTGCAGAGCCTGAGCACACACCACGTCCCCTGCAGCGTTGCGGCGTTGATTACGCTCTCCGCCGGCCACACATGTAGCAGCATGTGGCCCTGCACATCCAAAACACCATCGCATAACGGATACCATACCTCAGAGGCCGCTTCGGGGGTGCCAAGGCAAGCTCGAAGCTCAGCAAGAAAGATGGCAGGTTCCATTCTGGTCTTGCCGGCTGCAAGAAAAGCACGAGCTCCAGCACCGGCTTCAAAAACGAGAGTGGCACGCTCGGTCTGGTTTGCTGCAAGCAGTTCGGCATCCCTGCGGCTCCATCAATCGCTTCCGAGAGAGCGTGTTGTCTGCTCGACAGCACCTTCTCCACGGGCGTTGAGGGCAGCAAGGGCCTGGACCACTGCTGGCGAAGCAACCACACCATCAAGAAAACAAAAGGTCTGGCTCCGCACAAGCCGACTAGCTGGATCCCGGCGAAGCGAGGTATGCAACAGGGGCATGCGCGGACGCCGAGCCTAATCCCAGTTGCTGGCCGCCATTGTCCGACACCTAGGTGGATGCCTGCGAGGCCGGAGGAACAATGCTGCTCGGATATCTACATGAGGGCTACAAGCCATCTACGCTACTTCATCGCTGGAAACGGAGGAAGAGCTAGACGAGAGGGAGGTTGCTGCTGGGCTAGGCGATTGGCTAAAGAGGAGTGGCAAGCTCCCGCGTACCGAGGCCGAGCAGTTGGCTAACAAACTACGTGGTGAGTGGGCGGCGGCCATCATCGGGGGGAGCATCGTGGAGCGGGTCCCTTTGGCACCCCCCTCCCTGGACCCGGAGGAGGAGAACAAGGCGAGTGAGTAGGTGCAGAGGTGCACCAGCACCATCCGAGGCAAGTCAAAGGCTAAGTGTACAAAGTATGTGGTCGTGGAGCGACCGGGCAAGAAGTACCGGCTACACCAGGGCGGAGTGGCCGGCTGCTGGATGGGCCGGAGGCGAATCTTTCGGATACAAGCGAGTACACGCATGGCCGAAGGGGTAGCCAGGCTAGAGGTGCCGGAGACGAAGAGCCGGTGGTGAGGGGATAGTTGGCCAGCTCGTCAATCGTCAACGGCAACCAGGGCCGAGGCTTGGGCACTTGAAGGGTTGCACCGCATGCTGCGGATCATCCCAGTTTTGCCAGCGCAAGCCCTAAGAAGGCGGACGCCTACCTCGGGTCCTCGAGTGGCGAAGGCATCAAACAGTTTGCTGGCTTCAGCTTCAGCACCTCGCTTCGTCGTGTGGGCTTCATAGGAGATCACCGATGGCGGTGCCTGGAAACTCGAAGCGCTGCAAGACCCGGCTGGACCCATCTTCCTGCCGCTTCCTGCCGCAACAGGGCACGAGCTCAAAGCTGCGGGCGCCACCGGCCCAAGAACGACCAACTCACACTTGGCAAGGTTGAGGCTCAAGCCTAAAGCAGTGTAGCAACCGCAGCCAGGTCCCCTGCCATGATTCCGTCGTCTAGGAAGAGGGCCATGTCCAAGGAGTCATCGCGACGGTGGGGCCAGGGCAGCGAAAAGCAACGTCCCAAGCGGATCGCTTTGCTGGACGCCGGAACTGCTGTGAAGAACATGCTCAGCGAACTGCAAGCGAGTAGGTTGCCGATAACATCGCGTGGCCCAACGAGCCAGGGAAGGGAAGTGGGTGCATGTTTGCTGCAACACCGCTCCCTGCTGACAGAGTCGAAAGCGTTGCGGAACTCAAGTTTCACCAACACTTTCTGAGATGGCCCTGCATGGCGGTTGACCCAAGCTCGCAGCTACTGCTGCTACTACTACTACTACTACTACTACTACTAATGCCAGTCTGGTACTGGTGCCAGAGTGCTAGTGCGCTGCTGGATTCAGTGGCTGAGGCCCGGGCAAACTCTTCTTCGTCATCGCCAGCTTCGTAGATTACGCTCCTGCGGAGTGGCGGCAGCTCACCTGTCAAGCAGGTCGGGAGCTCAAAGGCTGGGCCTTCAGGGGCTCAGGGTGTCGCCCGGGAGTAGGAATGCTGGTGTTCTGTTTCAGAAGGTTGTGAGGGCTCAAGGACTCGGCTTAGACGTGAGGGTGTAAGGGCGACGAGGGCTGGCACGATGTTATTCAGTTCAGCCGTACAAGGTGGTTGTCGCATCAGCTCAACTCGCCCCTTCTAACTTGTATCTCACGTGCACTACCAAATCGAGTGCCCAGTCTTGACAAGCGTTCCCGCTGAATGCAAGGTCGACACAACCAGAGATGCCAGCGCTGCCAACATCTCCAAACCCTAAGTCACGTCAATGCAAGCAGCGCTGGATGTTGTGAGCTTGCTGCCAACAGCCGCAGATTCCCTAAAAGCCGACTTCGGGCCCTGCAACTCACCCTTCTCTTTCGTACTGTCACGCCTAAAGCCCGGTCCTTGAAGGTCCTGACCCTCCCTCCCCCCTCTCCAGTGCCCTTGCCGACCTGCGAGCGGTAGAAATGCTGGGCCTCAACTGTCTCATCCACTCCGCTTTGGTTTTGGGGCTCGTCAAGAGGCCGAGAAGGGCTGGGTTCATGGAGATTGGAGCATTCTCCAACCTTCAACCTTCTCACAGCCCCAGACGCCCGACGGCAGCCTTTTTTGTTGCGGATGATTCTCTCTGAGTGTCTGTCCAGGCATCGCTGGATTGGGCGCTTTATAGTAAAGGGGACTTGCTCAAAGCAATGGCAGCCTTGAAATGTAATCAGTGAGCGCTGCGGATGCTGGTCACAATGACCCTTTGACAGGAAGCCGCCATGTTGAGAAATCCCCGAGTCCAAAACAACGGGCAGTATTCACCGCGTTGCACTAAAAGTTTGGATGCCTACCCTTCACCCGGAACCGTACTGAGAAAAGCTTGGCTGTACGAACGGAGCTCCCTGGTGCGATGTTCGGTGTGCTTACTCACAGATAAACGAATTCAGAATTGTAATATCAACACAAATGGTTGACGTCGCAATCCGGAATCCTGAGACCAAACATCCCGAATCCTTGACCAAGGTCCGAATCCCGGCAAGAATGGACGTGGCCAGGATTCTTTGAAGAGCTGGAAGGCTTACTTACATACGGGCGCATGCATACGTACATACAGGCACGCAGTTTGGAATTTACATGAAGTAATTATGATGTATGTATGTATGAACGAAACAATGAGTAAGCAAATAAACAATCAACATAAGCACATTAGATAAGTAAAAACAAACAACATACATATATATATATATATATATATATATGTATACACATACAAACGAGTCATATGAGCATCCGACGTGCAACTGGAACGCTGTGGCTACAGAACTTTTCTTATAGGCGGTCGTTGTCGGACCCTGATGTAGATTGAGAGCCGGAGCTGGGACCTAACTACTTCTAAACCGCATCCCATATTGGCAAAAAGCCGAACTGCTTACGAACGCGAAGGTCTCAACGCCCTTTCAAGCCGAAAACCTCGACGACTATCAGCACATATCTAAGGCTTCACCAGATCGGCTCTTCATAAAGTCGCCATGCACTTTCTGGATTTGCTGGAGAAGCAAAGAAGCTGAAGGCAGGGCCTACAGAACATTCTTAATGGCACTATTAAGATAGCAAGGCAAACGCTCGTTGCTTATACTTCCTCGACAGAGAATCTGAATCAAAGGCCTCCACATCGACTCTAATCGGTATCAGGGCTGTACGGTTCCACGGGGCTTGGGTCGACGGGAAATGCAGTGGTTCCTGCTGACTTGAACCCCTCACACGGCTTCTCTATGCGTAGGCGCCGCTGGAACATGAGGCTTTCCGGTAAAGCCGCTGCAGGCAGAAGACCACCAAAGCCAGATGCTTGAAGGCCCCAAGGCCCCCAACGAAAACAGCACTCAATGCCTTATCGACCAAATCATAGCTAGGGCAGCTATGGCCCAACATCAGCAGTAGCAACAAGAACTTCAATTATCGTCTTGTATCGGGACTGCTGGCCGTTTGTTCAACATGTTTCGAAAACAAGGCCCGAACATTGAAGCAATAGTACAACTGATCGGCAGTAGTACCGGTGGCGGTAATGGTCAACTCGGTCTTCCTCATCGTCATCGGCGTCGCAGCAGCATTAATATTAGCAGTAGCAGTAGTCGTAGTAGCAGTGGTGGTGGTAGTAGTAGTAATAATAGTAGTAG